TTTCCAACCACTCGCACGGCAAACCCTGCACCCGGAGGCCGGGAAAGGGCCGGCGGCGGCCGCCGCCTCCCGCAGCGGAGCAGCGCGGTGAGCGCCCGGCCCCGGGAACCAGCCGCCGCGCCGCGTGTCTCGGCAGGGGCGGGCCGGGCCGGGTGAGGTTCCGGGGCAAGGGGAGGGTTTGGGGCGGGAAGATGGCTTCCACCAAGAGGGTGCTGTACGTGGGTGAGTCGCGGCGGGAGCGGGGGTCTCGCAGCTCCCCGGGGCTGGGGGGGGGGGTAAAGCGCGCCACGCGTCCCCCCCCGCAACCAGCGCGTCCCCCCGGGGAGTCCTGTGGCGAGAGCAGCCCTGTCCCGTCCCCCCCCCCGCCTTGCCCTGCGTCCCCCCCGCCTTGCCCTGCGTCCCCCCGCTATCCCCGCCTTGCCCTGCTTCCCCCCCCCCCGCTATCCCCGCCTTGCCCTGTCCCGTCCCCCCCAGCCTTGCCCTGCGTCCTCCCCCCGCTATCCCCGCCTTGCCCTGCTCCCCCCCCGCCTTCCCTGCGTCCCCCCCCCCGCTATCCCCGCCTGCCCTGTCCCCCCTTTGCTCCCCCCCGCTATCCCCCCCCTCCCCCCCCCCCCTTCCCTTCCCCCCCCCCCCTATCCCCCCTCCCTCCCTCCTCCCCCCTATCCCCGCTTTCCTTTCGCCCCCTCCCTTGCCCTCCCCCCCTATCCCCCCCCCTCCCCCCCCCCGCCTGCCCGCCCCCCCCCTACCCCCTTGCCCTCCCCCCCCCCCCTCCCTCCCCCCCTACCCCGCCTGCCCTCCCTCCCCCCCCAGCCTCCCCCCTCCCCCCGCTACCCCGCCTTGCCCTGCGTCCCCCCGCCTTGCCCTGCGTCCCCCCCCCGCTATCCCCGCCTTGCCCTGCGTCCCCCCCCCGCTATCCCCGCCTTGCCCTTCCGTCCCCCCCCCCAGCCTTGCCCTGCGTCCTCCCCCCGCTATCCCCGCCTTGCCCTGCGTCCCCCCCCCGCCTTGCCCTGCGTCCCCCCCCCGCTATCCCCGCCTTGCCCTGTCCCGTCCCCCCCCCAGCCTTGCCCTGCGTCCTCCCCCCCGCTATCCCCGCCTTGCCCTGCGTCCCCCCCCCCGCCTTGCCCTGCGTCCCCCGCCCCCCCGCTATCCCCGCCTTGCCCTGTGTCGGCCCCCTCGCCTTGCCCTGCGTCCCCCCCCCCGCTATCCCCGCCTTGCCCTGTCCCGTCCCCCCCCCCCCGCCTTGCCCTGTCCCGTTCCCCCCCCCCCCGCTATCCCCGCCTTGCCCTGTCCCGTCCTCCCCCGCTATCCCCGCCTTGTCCTGTGTCGGCCCCCTCGCCTTGCCCTGCGTCCCCCCCCGCTATCCCCGCCTTGCCCTGTCCCGTCCCCCCCCCCGCCTTGCCCTGCGTCCCCCCCCCGCTATCCCCGCCTTGCCCTGTCCCGTCCCCCCCCCCGCCTTGCCCTGCGTCCCCCCCCCGCTATCCCCGCCTTGCCCTGTCCCGTTCCCCCCCCCGCGCTATCCCCGCCTTGCCCTGCGTCCTCCCCCCCGCTATCCCCGCCTTGTCCTGCGTCCCCCCCCGCCTTGCCCTGCTCCGGGGCTGGCTTCTCCCTCCCGCGTCCTCTGGCGCTTGCCGGGTTGCGCAGGGCGCCTCTCCTGTTGCCTTGGCCCAGCGCGGGGAGAGGCTGCGGGGATTACAAACCCCACCCGAAATTATTGGGTTAAACGTCGTTATGGGCGTTGCGATTATCAAAGGCTCAAAGCCTGTTTAGCTTTACGGTTCCCCGCTTGTCCCTGCAGGGCTGGAAACATGCTGGCTCTCCTTCTTGTTGAAGGGCTCGTGTTCTCAGACTCCCTGGAGTCCCGGAGCTGGGGCTTTTGGGATGACGCAAAAGAGCAGGAGACTCAGTAAAATGGGTCACACTCAGCTGAAGGGAAAACGAAATGGCACTTTAACGTAGTCTCCTTCCTTTGACTAGTGGGAAGTGTGCACCTCTCATGCATGAACTAAATGGGATGAATGCCCGCTTAGGTCATAATGTTTTAACTCTGATGCCTAAACCCCTGTAGGCCTGGTCTTCAGGGGGGTTCCTGAGAGCAGCTGCTCTTACTTATGAAAAATCAGGCCTCTTATTATGGTGCCTAACTCCAGGCACCTGAGTTCAAGCACTCTGGCTGTATGCCATGTGTGTTTCCTGCCCGGGGAGGTCCTGTTTGCAGGTTGGGATGCGTACCCAAACAACTTGGCAGCTCAGATGTTCCTCAATCCTTTGCCCAACTTTTTAATATCTGCTTGCTCTCCCCCTCAACCAAGCTGCAGGGCTCATGTATTCTTGCCCTCCCCTGACCTCCAAATGACTTGCTAAATTAATGTTGTCCCTGGTGCTTAGCTGCATCTGCACTGATCCATGGCACCTGTCTGCAGCAGGTGTGGAAGACTGAGACTTGGGGGGGTGCTACTCCACTTCCTAGTGTCTGAGCTGCTAGTTTGTGCTGGGCAATGTGTGTTTGTGTAGCTGCTAGCTTGGGCAGGGCAAGTGCAGCTTGCAGAGGTCAGTTTGTCTGACCCGCCAGCACGAGCAGGCGATGCGATGGTTCTGGTCCACTTCCTCGTATGTGCCCTGTCAGCGTAGGCAAAGGTTCCCCCTTTTACCATGGAAATCTGCCTGCATTTCAGTTTCCAGCCAGGTCTCCATGTTACTGTATTTGGATCTATTCCTGAGCTAGCGGGTGAGTTGTACAGAGCTTGTAGTTCTCTCTCCCTTGTATGATTTCACGCCAAGATGGTGTTGGTGTGGGTAAGGTCAGGTTTGTGATACAACAAGTCTGATTAAAGTTTGGCTGATCAGACTCTGCCATGCGGTGCACAAAACCTTCCCTTTGCTCACTGTCTTTGGCTCAGTACATCTGGCAGGTCTGTTCTTGCTCATGTGCCTATCTGTTGCCATTTGGGGAGCTGAAGAATCTGGTCCTGGGATGGGATTAGCAGTTTGTTTGGTTTTTTGGGGGCGGGGTGTGTGTGTGTATTTGGTCCAAGCCAGATGTAGATTAAGAAGCAGAAAAGGAGCAGGAACTGGTTGTGAATTCAAGTGGTACCTGCATTCTTCATTTCTTCAAAAGGGTTTTTAAAAAGTTAGGGGGTTGGAATGGGTTCCCTCCTCCTCCTTTTAGGGTCCTTATTTGCTGATGGGGAGGGTGGTGTCTCTTATACAGAAGGGATTTTCTTTGAGGCCACTGGAGAGTTTTGAAAACAGTGTAGAAGCCACTGGAGAAACTTCAGATCTTTCCCCAAACCGCTGGCCCCAATCCTGCATAGACGTAGCCACATGTTTAATTCTAAGTGTGTGAGTATCCCCAGGACTAAGATAGGACTCAGGCTATAAGCCACTTTGTAGATCAAAACCAGCACTCTGAATAGCACCTGCACATGGCCTGGAAACCAGGGTGGTCTCTAGAGCGCTGATTTGCTATGCTACTTGTGGGAAGCTCCGCTGAAAAAAAAAGCAACTGCATTCTGCGCTAGCTGTAAGTTTACAAGCTGTCTGTAATCAGCAGGCCATCCTTTCCTCTGCACTGAGGCCATGTTTCTGCACTGGGAAGTGGGCAAACAGGCTGCACAGGTAGAGAACACTCTATGTGACTTGCAGGTGGACTTGCGGAAGAGGTGGATGAGAGAGTTCTTCATGCTGCCTTTATTCCCTTTGGAGATATCACTGATATTCAGATACCTCTGGACTATGAAACTGGTGAGTCCGTTCCTGCTTTGGTCTGTCTTGTTTCTTGCCCTGTGTGGATCTCTGTGTCAGGAATCATGTCCAAGAATTCGAGAGAAGTGTCAAGTTGCCCTCTTCAGCTGCTCTGTCCTTGGGGTTTGCTGCTTCCCAAGAAACCATGGCTTGCGAGGCTCTCTTGAAGAGAGAACCCTGCGTAATGATAACTGTAGAGGTTTGTGCTTCTGTAACATCAAAATCTGGGGGCAGCATTTTCCCAGTGCACCAGGACCACTGCGGTTCATAGTGCTCTGGATGTGCTGGGTAACATGCTGTCTTTGGAATGTGCAAAACTTTAGAGGCTTGAGTTTTCCAATGAACTTGACCAGTTTTTTAGCATCTTCTGAATCACACCAGGACAATTTACAATCCCGACCCTCAGAAATCACCTAGAAACCACTGTCCTCTCCCTGCTTCATAGCAAAGATTCAATAGCAGTTGCAATCAGATCTCTTATTACTGAAAGTCCATTCTCTGACAACATATTCTCCAGGGCATGTGCTCGAACTCCCTGATATATTTGCGTGAACAATTAAAACTAAATTACAGTTTTCAAAATAGATGAACACCGTATATTTTGCAATGTCTTCTTTAAATCATGTTTGTTTGTTTATTTCATAAATAGCAACTTTCAGTACTTAGCAAAGGGATTTTCCTGTCATTACATGCTACTGTGTGCCTTTTCTCTCTCTCGGTTGTGAACTAAAACTCCAATCCTGCAGTGATTTCCACGTGCACAGACTTGACTTCAGTGAGTCTGCATGGATCCTGGTGCCCTGGAGCTTATTTCAGGATGACAGTGTAAAGCTAGCTCTTCTTTCTGTACAACAAATTGTTTAAATTCATTACTTGAGAATTACCTTGATGGAGATTTAGCTTTGTTAACATCAGAGCCATAAAGAACAGTTTAATGTTTCTGTACAACTTGAAGTAATTAAAAATGGGCCATTTCGTAACCCCTGATGTTGCCAGTTCTTTGCACCAGCCTCTGAAAACATTAGTGTGTCTGAAACAAAGTCTGAATTCTCAAATGGGGAAGGAGCAGCAGAGAAATTAATTTCCCTTCGCAGCACGAGTGACTTGTTGTCAAATCTCTTGTTCTCTGGCTTTCCTGGCGGCTGTAACTGTTCGTTATCTTTCCACAGAAAAGCACCGGGGATTTGCTTTCATCGAATTTGAGTTGGCAGAGGTGAGAAAGGAGCAAATTTTAATACTGAGTTTGAAATCTCTTCCTCCTCCACCATTTTTCACCGAGTCCTGCTCCCACTGAAGTCCTTGGTAGTTTTGCAGTTGACGTCAGTGGGAATCGGATCACACCCTTTGTTACTGACTCCTTCAAGGTTAACAGCCATGGCTACATACGGTTCTCCTTCGGCTGGAGTTGCTGTCCCACTTCTGGGTCCAGTTTTGCCATCTCTGTTTTTTCTGCTTTCTTTGGATGATCCATCTCCGTCTTGGAAAATCTTTGTGGTCCAAAATCTTGACCAGGGCTGTCTCAGTCCATGATGCCAGTGGTGGTTTTAGTTCAGTAGATACCATGTGCTGGCACCTGTTTGTGGCCCGACGACCCTATCGCAGGCTTCAAAAAATAAAAACCAGCATAACACGGGACCCAAATGGTGTGCAATTTGGAGGCATTAGCTGATTGGATCGATGGGGCGAAAACCAGGAATGCATCTGCCCCTGTGTCTGAAAACACTTGTGAAGGTCCACGTGAGATGTGGCAAGAAGCTACAGGCTTTGCATTGAGGAGCAAGCCTTATCTTTGGGTTAGACCACTTCTGCCAGCCCAGGCTATGCATTGATATGAAATCCTCGCAGCCTTCCATGCGCCTAGGGTGGGTTTTTTCTTTTTTTTACATGAATAGAGGAGTAATGGCTGAATTAGCAATAACGTATTTTCTCTTGCTCTTCCCTTAGGATGCTGCAGCTGCTATTGACAATATGGTATGGATTACAATCCCCTTTACTGAACCTTCTTGGGGGAAGTGTTGCCCTTTCTCTATCCCCTGCATCATTTGGCTTTGCTCTGCTCCCAGTACGATGAGACATGACCAAATGTCTCACCATTGTCTGGAGATTTCTGTTAGTCTCTTATATCTAATGACCCTCATCCCCTTGACAGCTGATCATAGCTCCTAGGCCAAGAAAGGGAAACATGGATCTGATACCCTCTGGGGTGGGTGGTTTTTTTTAAGTAACTCGGTTCTGGATCCTCCCCGTATAACAGCGGTCGGGAATGGACACAAGTCAGAGAGGAATCCCATCAGCGTGTAGCACTGGCTGCAGGTTCTTCGAGTGTAAAGGGAATTGCCCGCTAAAATGGGGGGTAGTGGTTGCTTTTGCATATCCTTGGAGGCGGGCCTTTGTTCGACGGTTAGGCCGCTGGTGTGTCAAGACCACTGCCTCTCGTGTTTGCCGATATTGTCTCCTCGTTGCCTCGTGCTCCTCCCTGTCTCCCTCTTTTTCTCTTGTCTCACGCTTCGTAAGCTCTTTGGGGCAGGGCTGTCTGTTTGTTCTGTGTTTGTCCATCACCTAGCCCCGCGGGCGGCTCTTCAGAGGTTAATATGCGGCTCCTTGTAAAGGCACCGACTCTGGGGCCGGAGCTACAGGTGCCAACTTCTTAATGTGCCGGGGGGGGTGCTCACTGCTCAACCTCTGGCCCTGCCCCCGCTCCATCCCTTCCTGCCCCCTCCCCTGAGGCTGCCATGCCCTTGCTCCTCCCCCTACCTCCCCAGAGCCTCCTGCATGCCACAAAGCAGCTGATCGGGAGGTGCTGATCGTGGGGCCGCCGGTGGGCGCGGGGAGCTGATGCGGGGCCGCTGATGTATTACTGTGGCTTTTTGGCAGGGCACATTGGTAAATTCTGGCTCCTTCTCAGGCTCAGGTTGGCCACTCCTGACCTAGCCCAATGTGCTCTCGGTCCATGACTGGGGTTGCTATGGTAATTCAAATAATCAATACTCTCAGATAGCGGGCGGGAAGGTCTGTGTTTCTCTTGACTCTCTCTCGGAGCCCAGCAGGGATTTGGAGAACGTAGGAATTTCTCACCTTTTTCTCTTTCGTTCTCCTTAGAATGAATCTGAGCTTTTTGGCAGGACGATTCGTGTCAACTTGGCCAAGCCAATGCGGATTAAGGAAGGTTCTTCCAGACCCGGTGAGTCGGTGAATGAGAAGGCGGTGGGGGGGTACCTCAATGTCCTGCTGTCAGTACTGCCTGGCTGTGTCGGGTTCTGTTTGCTTGCTGAATGTCTCCCTTCTCCATCGCTTTGCTGAGGGCCTGTGTCACACGTTACCTGGGCAGAGTAGCCATTAGGGAAGACTGAGTGGGCTGATTCTGTTGGTAATTTTAGAGAGCTGACTCTAATGGGAGGTTTTACTAGGCTGCAGATACTGACTCAGTGACCATCACTTTCTCATTCACCTGTGTAATGGGTCTAAATTCTCTGTGCTGTGGGCTCTGTGTCCTTAGGGTTCTCCTACTGGGGACTGAGTGCTCCTGCACCTTCAGTGTCTTAAAGCTGTCCTAGAACACACTGTGTTCAGACCTGGCTGCTCATGCCACAGAAGAGCACGTGATTTGGTTTAGACCCTGTTCTGATCCCTTCTTCTCTCTGTCCCAGTCTGGTCGGATGATGACTGGTTGAAGAAGTTTTCGGGGAAGACGCTTGAGGAGAATGCAGAGGAAGAGGGAGCAGAGCCTTCCAAATCAGAGACGCAGGAGGTAAACGGCAGGACTCTCTCTCTTTCTGTGGGGAGAAGGAAGGAATCGAGGGATGGATTTGAATTGTTCCTTTTGTGTCGATGGAAAGGAGGAGTTGAACATGGTCAGGGTTTGGGTGAGTCGTCGGTTTAAAACGCTGTCCGAGTTGCAGCAGGTCAGGCATGAGGGCAGGAGATGCATTAGTGCCACAATTTTTTGCAGCTTCAGAAATTCCTTTCAGATGCCACAGATACTGAAAAAGGCAAGTTCAAAGCTAGCTCGAGTCACGAGGGCAGCATCCGTGGGCATGGGCTAGACTCCGGAGCCCAGCCCTGCCCGGCACCCCGGGTACGTTCTCAAGCAGCTAACTCAGGCTGTCTATGCTGTTGGAGCTTCGCTGCTATTGTTACTCGAGCTAGCTTACCTCTAGCTATATTAAAGCTAGCTCAGGTACGTCTACACGAGCCACAGTCACGCCTCCTGATTGGTGTGTTGACGTTCCCTGTGTGAGGGGGAGCAGCCCCGCCCCCAGGTGGAATTGTCACAGCCTGCTGTCCCACTGAAGGCTGAGAACTCGGGGCTGGAGGCCTCTGTAAGAAGAACCTATGGGAACATCACTTTGTTTCTCTTCCCTAGGGTGAGCCTCCTGCTAAGAAATCCAGGGCCAATCCTCAGGTGTACATGGACATCAAGATTGGAAACAAGCCTGCTGGTCGAATCCAGATTCTCCTGCGCTCGGACATTGTGCCCATGACAGCAGGTGAGAGAGAGTGCCACGCCTCTAAGGCGCTTTCTAAGATGAACTTTCGCATACAGCGCCATTGCTGGCATTTTGAACTTTGATTTTGCTTTCTTTCCTCCCCTATCCTGACCCGTCCTGCCCCCCCCAACACACACAGAGAATTTCCGCTGCTTATGCACCCACGAAAAGAACTTTGGCTTCAAGGGAAGCAGTTTCCATCGCATCATCCCCCAGTTCATGTGTCAGGCTGGAGATTTCACCAACCACAATGGCACCGGAGGCAAATCGATCTATGGGAAGAAATTTGACGACGAAAACTTTATTCTGAAGCACACGGGACCAGGTAAGGCCAGATCCTGTGGGTGCGGGAGCAGGCTGGCTTAGTGGGGCAGCTCGGGCAAAGGTTGCTGCGACTGCGTGGGGCAGATTGCTGGAACTTGGGACTTTTGGGGTGTGACTGAGTTCATTATCAGTAAATGGTGCTGGATTCTCAGCCTTTAAAGCTATGTCTACACTAGGGGTGGGCAAACTACAGCCTGCGGGATTGCCACCCCTGTGGCATGGCAGGGCTAAGGCAGGCTCCCCGCCTGCCCTGGCCCCGTGCCACTCCCGGAAGCGCCCAGCACCACATCCCTGCAGCCCCTTGGGGGAGGGGGCAGAGGGCTCCGTAGCCATAGGGTGAAGCTCTTGCGTCGGGCACAGATTGGGTACAGCTCCCCCAACGTTGCACCACTGATGTGCTGCAAACTTGACTCGGAAAGAGCATCTCTACAAGTGGGAGAGGATTTCATTGTCCGTGGCCAGTTCAGCCCCTTGCTTCTTGGCTGAGCTTTTCAGCAAATGGAGACAGTGTTAACCCTGTGGGTGGGGTTTGTGATGTGGACACCTTTCCACTAGGAAGTGACCTATGTCACCTACGTACGTTGTGAGGCCACCGATGTATTTTACACAGGCCAATAAGCAGCTGCCTAGTAGCCATCCGCTGATGGCAACAGTTGGTCCCAGCTGACGTAGGCTGGATTTGCAGTAGCGACCCAGAAGTAAGAGTTTGAGCGGGATGCTACGAGGGGTTGCTTGGGATAGCGGGACTGGAGCTGGTGACCCAAGAGGTCATTTCCAGTCCTGTGTCCCTAAGAGGCTCAATATCAGCCTATTCGGCTCTCCCGCTGTCACTGAGCGTAGTCAATTTCGTACTTGTTGCGTTCAGAGCTTAGTGTCTGGTGCACTAATATGATGCTGGGTTGTAAACACAGTAGGGAATGTTGATTTGGATTTTTTATTTCCATTGGGTGGTAATATTACATGGGAGAGTTTCGATGGATCCTATATTTTATAAAAAATCTACACTCGTGTTTTACAAAATCTAAACTTGCGACCAAATCTGGCCTGACCTTCTCCTTGTAATATGTATTGTTTCGATGCACGCGGTGGGAGGGTACATGATGGTATCGAACACTGTGGGGCAATGTGTAATGGGCGTATCATGAATGGGACGGATGAAGCCTGAGACAGGAGGAGAAAGGAAGCAGAGGGCAGCACTGTATTATAACCTGAAAACATACCAGCAAACAGACCGTCTCTCTCTGGGGGTGGGATAGCTCAGTGGTTTGAGCATTCGCCTGCTAAACCCAGGGCTGTGAGTTCAATCCTTGAGGGGCCATTTAGGGATCTGGGGCAAAAACTGGGGATTGGTCCTGCTTTGAACAGGGGGTTGGACTAGACGACCTCTTGAGGTCCCTTCCAACCCTGATATTCTATGAGTCTCTTGATCCTTGTGGCTGTCCTGTGATGACGGGGCTGCTGAAGGAGTATTTGTATTAGGCAGCCGATGTGGTGATGCGCTGAGCGTAGAGCAGATCTATGATAAATGGCATACTGGTCACTCGTATTTGTCAGCTGTTTGGGGCAGGGACCATCCTGCAGCGCACCCAGCACAGTCGGGTCCTGCTCCGTGACTGGACCTCAGTACAATAATAATATTTTGTCCCCAGGGTTGTTATCGATGGCAAACTCTGGCCCAAACACCAACGGCTCCCAATTCTTCATTACTTGTGATAAAACGGACTGGCTGGATGGCAAGCATGTGGTCTTTGGAGAGGTGACGGAAGGGATTGAGGTGGTGCGGCAGATCGAGGTAGGAGTCTGGGGAGCAGACAACGGGATGTTTCCCCAGTTGTTTCTTTGGTCTGACTTGGAGATTTATCTTTACTTCTTGTTTCCTTTTTCTTAAGGCTCAAGGCAGCAAAGATGGGAAACCCAAGGAGAAAGTGATCATTTCAGACTGTGGGGAGTATGTGTGAGCCCGTCTGGATGGAGTGACCAGATGAGCAGTGAAGGCTGGAAGTTGTTCTGGATGGGGAAAACAGAACTGGAGACTGCCAGGGAGAAAAGTCACCTTGTTACTCCACAAGTCCCACTTGCTGCATAGTTTCTTTAGAAACTACCATACAGGCTTGGGCTGAACAGTCTGGTCAGCAGACAGGACTAGGTCCATCAGCGGGTGCTTTTTCACCCGGCGGGTCACAGGAAGCATCCTTTAAAAAACCGTGCAAATAGTTTGACCAATCTGGAGTGGATCCTGTGTCCCTCCTCTGCGAGGCATCGCCAGTCCTGCCGGTGCCTTCCATAGAGAATTTTTTCTTGTTTAAAATAAACCAGAGCTTGTATAAAATACCGAAAATGTGTCCCTTACCTTGGAATTCTCACAATGTTGTGTTGTTTAGCACACAGATCATGGTAACATCTAGAGGTCAACGAAGTACAAACGTCGCCACCTGTTTCTTACAATCTAAGAAAGAGTTGTTGTCATGGGAAAGGTTTGAAGAAGCTGGAGTCTGCCTTGTGTTTTATGGAGTTACTTGTGGACCCTACTGTTCAGCCAGCTGCTTTGGGTTTGTGTGTTTAACAGCCAGCGGGTGAGTCTGTTTAACAGCCTTTTTAGCTGACCTTAGACTTTACCTCCCTGTGCCTTGGTTTCCCCTTCTGTAAAATGGGGGTACTGAGCTGCATCGTAAAATGCTTTGAGATCTCTGGATGAAAAGAGCTAGGCAGTATCATCAGTTAGTTAATCTCATGCACAGCCATAGCAAAGGACTGTCCTCTGCACTAAAATCCCTACCAGCGTTTTGTCTAGTGTTGCACTCGTGCACCCCTTCAGTGCTGATGTGGTGCAGGCGGATTGGAGTTACAAACAGCGGGACAGTTGGCCTTTACCGTGATTGTGAATGGGTTTTAGGTCTTGAAAGGCCCTTTGAAAAGCTTCCCCTGACACTGATCATAGAATCATAGAATATCAGGGCTGGAAGGGACCTCAGGAGGTCATCTAGTCCAACCCCCTGCTCAAAGCAGGACCAATCCCCAATTTTTGCCCCAGATCCCAAATGGCCCCCTCAAGGATTGAACTCACAACCCTGGGTTTAGCAGGCCAATGCTCAAACCACTGAGCTATCCCTCTCCCCTGTCCATGTTTACGCTCTGCATCTGTGTTTGTTCGTTCCCGCCTGACGGCATCAGAGCAGCTCTCAGGAAAGCCTCGCTCGCAAATGGCCTTGGGCTCTGTTTTTGTGAAAATGCTCATCCTCCGAGAAACTGACCCCGCTAATTGCGCTAAGCGAGGGCATGTAACTGAGGTGTAAGTACTGGGGCCCATACGAAAGGTTACACCCAGAAAGGGAAGCACCTCTGTAATTCCTGCAGCAAGGTGGCTGTGTCTAAGCACAAACATCCTGAATGTGCAGGATCCTGCTCTAGGCAATGTCCTAGTGTTTAGTCAAATAGCATTTAGCTGTTCATGTATGTCACAGGTCGTTATTAGTGGCTACCATTTGCATGACAGAGGAAAGGCACTTTAGTCTCGCCTTTGGTTCAGCGCTGAAATAATAGACACAAGAAGTCTAAGAGCGCACAAAGCGAAGCTAGTGTCCTTAGCAGAAATAACATTTTCTGTAACCCCCATTTTGTTGTCATTCATTTTTTTTTAAATTATTTTTTGAATGTAAACATGAAATGAGAGCGTGCCCGTCGGGTTTGTGTGGGTTGGAGATCACTTAGAATCTCGGCAGAGAGCTGATTTAAATACGGTTTGGAATGGCAGAATGAGAAGTCCTGTGTCTGAAAAAGGAGCTCCCGTTCACACTGGCAGGGGATGAATATGGGCAGAGCAGTAAGTGTGGCTTTGTCTCCAATTAGGGCCTAGCTTGTTTTGCCTTTAAATTCGAGGTAGTTGCTTTGATACTACTGAATAAATGTGGCATTGTCACTTACAAAACTATCCTTATGGAGACTGCTCTGCTACAGCGTCTCAGGCGAGTTCTTCTTTTATAGTTGTTTGCAGTGGGCTTGGTTGTAGCTGTGTGGGTCCCAGCACAGGACTCTCTGGCTTTAAGATTAACCTCGATAAGTTTATGGCGGAGATGATATGATGGGATAACATGATTTTGGCAATTAATTGATCTTTAACTATTCATGGTAAATAGGCCCAATGGCCTGTGAGGGGATGTTAGATCGGGTGGGATCTGAGTTACTACAGAGAATTCTTTTCTGGGTGTCTGGCTGGTGAATCTTGCCCATATGCTCAAGGTTTAGCTGATCGCCATATTTGGGGTCAGGAAGGAATTTTCCTCCAGGGCAGATTGGAAGAGGCCCTGGAGGTTTTTTGCCTTCCTCTGTAGCATGGGGAATGGGTCACTTGCTGGAGGATTCTCTGCTCCTTGAAGTCTTTAAACCATGATTTGAGGATTTCAATAGCTCAGACATAGGTGAGAGGTTTATCACAGGAGTGGGTGGGTGAGAGAGATTCGGTGGCCTGCATTGTGCAGGAGGTCAGACTAGATGATCATAATGGTCCCTTCTGACCTTAATGTCTACGATGGAAGGTGCAAACATTTGACCTACACAAAGTAGGTCTTTTATCTACAATAAAAGATATTCCCTCACCCACCATATTTTTTTTTTTTTTTGAGAGAGAGAGACACACAAGGCAGGTGTGGTGGTATTTTCTATTGGACCTGTTACACATGCATTTTTGCATTTATTTACATATTAGACACTGTACATGGTGTGGCATTTTACAAATATCCAGGTTGACCTCTTCATTTGCTGTGATCCTTCAGATGAAAAGTAGCTATGAATCTATTCTAAAAGTCAGGTGGTCTTTAGTATTGAGTGGCTGGTGTGTTAATCTAAAACCACTAATATGTAGCTTTTATATGGCACTCTTAATCGGTAGATGTCAAAGCATTTTATAAAGAGAGGGTTAGTATCATTATTCCTGTTTTACAGAGTGGGAAACTGAGGCACAGAGACTTGCCTAAAGTCACCCAGCAGGCCAGTGGCGGAAATAGAACCCAGGCCTCATAGTCCATCCACTAGGAACACCACCTCTCTGACTAAAAAAACTGTCATTCTGATGAGCAGTAACCCCAAACGTTTGTAGTTACAGGCTATTGGCTTTGAAAAGTTTAGGACTGAAATAAATTGTTGGTGATCATTCAGTGAACCTTTGTTTCATGTCCTTGGAGGACCGCAGGCAGAGTTTTAATATGAAATGTGTTTAAGGGCTTTTTCCTTATTCCGTTTATGTCACACTTCAAATTAATATGCACCTGTGGAGGCCCAGCAAAGAAGCTGTAATGAACGTGACATGGATGTAGAATGTAGGAAAGAGGGGAAAGGAAAACGGGAAGCACTAGCTGGGACTATTGCAGATCAAAACTGTAACTATGTTGAAATGTTTTTTGCCTTTTAATACTAGCTGCCATAGCATACACTGACAGTTGCCTAACTAGGCTTAAGTGTTTTGATCTGGAAAAAAATCACTTCTGTGTTTTTCTGTATTTATACTTCCATTATCTCAAATTTTTTCATTTGGGATCTGATCCTGTATTCATTGAAGCCACATTGACTTGGGTCATGTCCTCCTGGAATGCGTCTGTGATGTCTCATGCTATTTTTCAGTGCAAGTCTCCCCTGTCTTGGGCCTGGCTTGTCAGATAGCTGTGAGATTTCTCTTTGAGCTGCTGGTAAGGTCACTGAACAGGCCTTTGTCTCTCAAGGGACCTGACTAGCATAGCTTTTCTGGTATAACTCTTCCACAGTAACTCCACAGGTGGGAGTTATTCCAAAACAGCTATGGTGGTCAGTTTTAGCTCTGTGGAGTAATAGTTTAAGGCCAGCAGGGACCCTTGGATCAAGCTGGTCTGACAACCTACAGTTCCATGGTCCTTAATTTCATTCAGTTAAGTGTGTTTAGCTAACATTGCTAGTACCTACAGCACAAGGCCTTAGGGATCCTGGAGAGTTAATTAATCAGATAGGGGCTGCTTTCTAAAATACAGTCTCCTAGCTGAGCTGTTGTCACAGCACCATGCTGACAGGATCTCATTAGAGAAGACAGGCTGTTCCTAAATTGCTACCCATGCTGTTCCTTATTCTAATGGTCCCCCTTCAGGTTCTGGAATAGGAATGATTGCGGCATTTACTTTACCCTCTTCTCCTAAGTGTGCAAAAAAAGGGAGTTCTTGAAAAGCTGCAGTAGGTGTGAGTTTGCACAGCTTCCCCTTTCTGAATTCAATAAATCACAGTACACAGTCGGGGCTTAAAATAAGGTGTGTTTTAATCTTTTCATGCCAGAATCAAGCATGACCACAATACTTTCCCCCACCCACCCTATAAAGATGACTGTTCTAAGCCTAATTTGGTAACTGGTTTTTCAAATGAAAGACTATGTAGTACTAAAAGCACCTAGCTGTTCCTCAGTTGATGATTTCTTACATCAGTTCTGTTTACGTACAATAATGGCTCACTTTTTCCAAGCAGTTATCACATCACATTAACTGCCCTAGACACTAGGTGGTCCCTTAGTCTTTAGTTAATTGGGTTGTTTATGAAGCTTTGTAAGTGCCTATTTTCTCACTCAAATTTTATGGAACATGAGAATAAAGCTTTAGGATCAGACCCTGAGGCCAGCTAATCCAATATCCTGTCTCCGATAGACTGAAGGATAATTTTAGGATTACAGGAGGAGAATATGTGCTCCAGCCCTGAAACAGGATGTCTAATAGGATTGTTGGTTACAATTTATTTATAATGTTTATGGCAGGACCCTGGAGCAAGGGTGTTTTCCCACAGAGGAAGAGGTGTGCTGCTGTTCTTCAGGTCAAATCATGCAGCCCTGTGGCTATACAAGCAGGAGCATTAGAGGCCCAGAGAATTCAGCATCTTTCAGAGTTCAGGACTGACTGGGGGAGAAGGTGCAGGGCCATGGAGCAGACTTTCCATCTGCTAGCTGGCCAAGTCACATTGGGGCTGCACGGAAGCATCCATGGGCAATTCCAGCAGCAGTTACTGCTGCTGGAATTAGTAGTAACCTCCAGTTCTGTTTCTGACAGGAAAACTGGGGCAGCAGTAGGGAATACAACTGGAACAAGCACCTAGGCTGTTGTGTCACCCCCAGCTACCTCAAGGGCTCCACACCAGGGTATGGGATGGGTTATTCCATCAACCTCGAGGAGCACAGCAACCAGAGAACCCCAAACTAGTCTGCTGTCGTTTGACCCTTGAGGACTCTAGTGCCCCAGTTCCCACCAGCAGAGGGCATTAAGTCCCTGTCCATTCAACACCTCATGTAAACCATCACCAGAACGCCTTAATGGAAACTTCAACCCAGCTACACTGTACTTTAATAATGACAGGTTTCAGGTACTTTAAGGGGATCTCCATTCTCTGCCATTGGTACACATAGTAGGCTACCCATTCAGAGCTAAGCAAGTTCAAGGAGGAAAAAAAAAAATGCAGAAACCACTGAGTGTTCAGGTAGCAAACATTATTATTGACATAATAGCCCCCTAAGCATCAACACTTTGACTGGAATGGCTAATGCTGAGTGCACTTCATAAAGGCATCCCCTTGGCTGTGCAAAGAGTGATGCTGCAACAGGGCACCTGGACAGCTCAGCCCCTAACTCTAGGCACTTCTGACCAAAAGTTGAAATCCTCCCATAATTCTGGGAGCTGGTGCTTTAAGGAACAGCCCAGCTAGCATGAGACTTGCAGTAAAAAGCAGGACCATGGGCAACAGTCAGACTTCAGGGGGGATTGTGGGTTCCCAGCATTTGTCAGGCACTTTGACACATACCCTGAAGAATTAGTCTCTGACCTGCTGAGGAAATAGTGAACCAAAACCACCATCTCTGGGGGGTGTGCTACAGCGAGTGACCTAGGGTCCCTTAGACTACATGTTAACTTCTGCTAAACTAGCTGTTCGCCCTTGGAGTGAGCAGTGACCCGCTCAGTACCTTTCCCAGACCTGAGGAAGCGCTCGGTGTAGCTTGAAAGCTTGTCTCAGTCACCCACAGCACGTGGGCCAATAAATTATATTACTGCCTTCCCCCCCAAGTCTCTGAAATAAGATTGGCACATTCAATTCCCATGAAAAGGAGAGCTGGCGATCAAGGAACGCTTTCCCAGGTACAGGGAAAGCAGATTTCTAGGGGGAACATTCTAGCTCAGTATGCAAGTCCTGGGCTGGGAGTCGGTCCCTTTGAAGAGGCTGGCCAGTAAAGGTGGGAGTATAGCACAGGTAGGCGTACCCCAGGGAGCTTTAATCAACCTAGCACAGGTAACAATAGCAGCGAAGGCACAGACTTTGTCATGCCCTCTGCTCCCTTGCCACCCTTCGGGGCGGCCGGAGAGCCGGGGCTGGGGCGTTCACGGGGTTTGCAGAGCAGGAGACTATTTTTTGAAAAATCCTGCACCTGCCCCATAATCTGTTTTTATCCTGCTCATGGTAGTGGGACCCCAGTTTCTTGCACACCACTCGTTTAAGCAGTACACCGCCCCCTAGTGAGGATGCAGGAAAGCAAATATTACTTAATTCCTATATAGCACTTTTCATCTGTAGATCTCAAAGCACTTTACACCAAAAAAAAAAAAAAGAGAGCATCATTATCCCCATTTTTACAGATGGGGAAACTGAGGCAGAGCTAAAAACTAGAACGCGGTCCCCATAGGATAAGGCAACATTAAAGGGATCCTTTTTTTACCCTGACACCCTCATTTAGCCGTCACCCCAAATGAATTAGCCCATAGAAAACAAATTGACATGAAGATGTCACACAATAATGGATTCCCCCCCAGCAAATACTTACTTACTAGGTACAATTTTAGCAGACCCCTGGGGCTTTCACTGAGAAATAGCATCCATGCTGCTGGGTCATGACATTTACTAAAAACAAACAGTAAGTGTTTACTTTCCAAACTAGGGGGTTTATTTTATAACTGTAGCTTGACATTTTTTTTCCAATTGGATGAATTTTCAAGCTTTAAATGGGAGGGTAGGGGAGAGGAGAGCTAGCTAGCCAGCCAGCTCTAACTGGCTGACCGCATATCATTTAGAGAACTAGAAGTGCTTGTTAAAACTATGATACTTGGCCATAAGTGAGTAGATACTGATAGATTTATAAGCAACTCAAGTCCTGCCTTCCTTGGCCTAGTCACTTGTGCAGTCTAAACTTCATCCAAGAATAATGAATAATCCAGGAGCCAGCTAGCCACAGTTCTTTTACAAAACCCAATAGCCAGAAACACAACGTGTACTTAAGCAGCCCCCGATTTGCTCTCTCTAGTTTCATGAAGTATAGTAGGATAATAAAAGTTTTGTCTTATCTACAACTAGGCGTTTGACTCTTACGGACTTTGGCAACATAGATGGGATTCAGACCTGTTAAAATAGTTCTTTTTCCTCGCCAAGAAACCAGCGATCGCATTTCCTCAGGGGCTTCAGTGGCAGCCGCATGATTTCACCACCATGTTGCGGTGTTTTTTGAGGATCACATTGTTGTTGCTGTCATAATAGAGGACAGAGGTTGCGCTGAGCTTGGTTGGAGCACAACAGGCCTTGGGAACTGCCTCGGGTTTCATCAGATGGACCTGTAGAGGCAAACAAGCTAGTGTGAGAATTTTCATTTTTGACGAATGGCTGCTCCTCTGCAGGCTCCAGGCAGGATAAGGAATTTGTAGCGGGGAGTAACGAGCTATCTCAAGGTAAACATGTGGTTTTTTGATTTAGTGAAAAGAAAAAGCTTCAAAGAGAGCAGCTCTTACCTGTAAAAAGGCTCTGATTGAATGGGTAGATTATTTTCAGCTTTCATCCAAATATTTATTCTAAACTTTTTGGCAGCTCTGGCTGCAGTTTATATTGGACTCATTCTCATGGCTCCACTCCTGCAGGGCAACTCGTCAGTTAAACTGAGATTTCTGTGCAGCGCCCTTGTCACAAAATATACTAACCTCAGTTAGAAAATACGCAGGAAAGAGAATGCAGCTTTAAAACTTTTTGTTTTTGTTACCCAGGAATAAAATATTTTGTTTAGATCAGCTTCTAGGAGCAAGTGGAACGTAGGCCCTCCCCCGTGGATATTCGGTGTCCAAACTGAAAATTAATGTTGTTCAAAAAGTACTAAGTACACAACCTTGTCTCCCTTCTGAAAGTGACACTGCCTTGACTCATTCTCCGGGTGACAAGGAATTCTTCCAGTAACTCCCCATATAATGTAAGGCTAGTAGCCTGCAAGTCATTATACACACACACACACCCCCATGGGCCTGCCAAATACGTGCAATTAATTTATTTCAGCGCAATTCAGAATCTCCATTTACAGAAGCTGGTGTTTTGGTGTCATGCTGCATTATTTCAGGACAGAAGACTGGCTGGCACTGGGGCCCAGATTCTCAAAGGTATTGATTCTGAAATCAATGGGAGTTAGGAACCTAAATATCTCTGAGAATCTTGGCTTTGATTTTTTTATTTTTTTATTATTATTTTTTTTTTACTTCCGGTTCATTTTGCCCCTCACAACTGGATGCTATTCACATCAGTCCCCGGAAGGTCCAATCCTGAAGAGCAGTGGAACGGATACATTTCCACACACTTCAAGGGTTTGCTCTACATAATACGTTCCTGGAATTGTGGAAGATTTAAGTTTAAAGGCAAAGTATAAGGACATCCAGAACAGGAGGATCAGTCATACATTTTTTGGTGTTAGAAAACACAGGTGAAATCCTGGCCCCACTGAAAACACTACCATTGACTTCATTGAGGCAAGGATTTCCCTGTGTCTTTGTACTGTGGCCTGATCCTGAGTGGGGCTTCTGGATGCTCCCATATATGAATATTAACAAACAATAATATTTTGTATCACAAAACTGCACTCTCTCAGCCAAATGCAGCGGAGCAATCTGTCTACACCCTAAATGCTAAAATGAGAATCAATGCAACTCTAGCTTGAGAAATCAAGCACTCACTAGTCAGGAAATCCCAGAAGTTAAAGCATGTCCTGCCATGTGTAGTGTGCTTGGGAAAATGTTGCATTAGAAAACCTTTCCGCTAGGAATTTCCTGTCTAGTGAGTGCTTTGGTTTCCAAACTATAATGGTGCATTAAATGTCTCAAGATTTTTTGTTAAATCCCCATGGTGCCTCCTAATCTTGGAAAAGATGTGTACTCTTATATGTGCACGTGGGCAAGAGGGTTATCTCCTATTAGGCATATGCATCAAGCAGCATTTTAAAGGTGTCCTAAAGGCAGAGACTGTTTTCAGTCTAACAAAGGCAACACCTCCCTGAAGACTCGTTTCAGGTTTGCAAATGTTAACCATATTCTAGTTAACTGCTAGGTTGGGGGCGGGCAGGGCGGGGAATTAGCCAGAATAGGCAATTATCATTTTCACCACAGTTGGAAACTTTTAACCTTGAGAGATGATTTGTCTGAAAAATCAAGTGAAAAATGGAATCGGACCAGAAAGCATTTTGCAATGGGATAGCAGTTGCGAGTCTGCAAAGCATGTGAAGCTTAAAGCTGGCCAATCAGGTGTTCATTCCATTATTTCCTGTTGATTCCTTGATCTGCCCCTGTGGGCAAATCCTGACCAGATTAAAATAATTGTGTCATTAAAGGGGTTGGTGTGATGCAGATTTTTGATAGAAGAATCTGAGCTAGACTTCTGCATCCGAATGCCCTCAAACTTGTAAAAGGCCCAGATCCAGATCTGAATTTCAGGGACTGTCTATTTAAAAAAAACAAAACAAAACATCTCACCTCACTAGGGGGCCATGAAAAGATTCTTTTGTATCTAGTAGACCAGCCCTTGGACTGCATTTTTATCCTTCCATTGTGACCTGATTTATACACCACCAAGTTTCTGACAGCTACTTCAAATGTTAATGATCCTGTGCAGAGCCCAGGCCCCAACAAGCTATTAATGCACATACACATTAATAAACTACTGACTAGTGACTGCAGGATGGCGTGATTGGTTGCATTCATGCAGGAATCCAGAGGAAAGGCACATTCTCCTTCGCAGTAAAAAGCGGAATATCCTTGTGGTGCAATCACCCAATCCTGCAAAAGGAAAGATTTGTCGATAGTTAAGCTGCACGACTACACTCGTTCATTCAGTTCTCCGACATACACAGAAACAATCAGGCTACTCATAGTGGGGCGAGGGGAAATGTCAACAGTTAGGGTTTATTTTGATTTTTATATTGACTGGAGAGTTCCTCCTTCAGGGTCATTGATGGATTTCAGGTTGTATCAGTTCATGTTTTTCTTAGTAATGCCAATGATGTTGTTAAAGCAGGTTCCTGTGAAACCTCCCAGGTGAGATCAAAGTGAGGCAGAGTTCACATGCTCTAAATTGCCTTGTGTTTGTGAAGGAGTGGAGGGGAACCCCAAGGATGGGCTACTTTCACATTTTTCCCATTTAATTTTCTTGGGTATCAATTTACTGCTGAAGAAACAAGGGGCAGGGGGTGGAATTACCAGCCATCCAAGGTCCTGAAAGCTGACATAGAGTTCATGCCTCCTGCAAACCTGTCTGCCTTCAGAGACATGAATGTCATCTAGAAAAAAAAGGGGGGGGGGGGGAGAGGGAGAGATGAGAAAATACCTGTCACTCAAAATAGCAAACAGAAAAACCTCACCAGTTACCCTATTTTATCCGAGTATTTGGTAGCACCAGTATAAGAAAGGCTGTTCCAAAAGAGCAACAGACGAATATTTAAAATCCCACAGATTATCCATATCCTTTGTCTTTGACATAGCCAGTGACAGGAGCTGTTTCTGCAACACCCTGACCCATTGGGACCTCTGATTCAAAGTCTTAGATACTGATGCTACGTCTAGGCTCACCCTGACCCAGATTCCTCTCAGTCTGGATTTAATAATTCAGCTGGAGGATTACTAGAGAAAGCACCGATGGATTCCTAGGACCTCAGCGGGCTGCTGCTGCAGCCAGGAGCTCCTCACTGGGACACTGGTTCTGATTCCAGGAGTGCCTGCCCAGCTTGCTGGATTCACCAACTCCGTGGCAAAAGCCAACAGTGTGAAACCTTCAAGCTTCAAAATCCTCTGGGGTCTCGGAACGTCTTTTGGCAACTCTAGCTGTGCCTGACAATGAAGCCCCCCTGGCCTCAGAGCCCGTCTTCTTAGTGAGAAGGCTTAAGAGTTTCTTTAGCTTTTAGACTCTCTCCACTTCTCACAGACTGTGGTGTGTGGGCATCTTGAAATAGTCTGAGCTCACTACCTAGCTGAGTTCCTAGATTGCCCCCCCTCACATCTCTACCCTACATTTCTGCATTTTTCAAAACTACATGCTTGCACAGAAAGCCTGGAGAAGCTACAGTCCCTAGAAACATTGGCTCCCTTGAAGAGTGGGGCCAGAAAACATTATCCCAGATTCTTTGGGTCACCCAAAAAAGTGAAGGCTTCAGACTGGATCTAGATGTATCACTCTGAGATCAAGAAACAGCGATTCAGCATGGAGAAATCTAACCCCAATCATTCAGGAATGGGCCCTAAATGACTCCCTAATCCCAGAAGGAATTTGAAAGAAGCATATCTGTGCGTTCCTAACCAACTCCTCTACTGATGCTTGGCCATGCATCAAAAGCATCTCAGGTTCATCGGGATGCCTTTCAGGGTCTCTTCCACTCTAAGGATGGTTTTGAAGCGGATGCTAATATTAATAGCATACTTAAAGGGTTCAGTATTCAGATATACCACTACCTAGAAAGTCTAATAAAGCCCTTTCCTTCAGGAAGCCATTGTGGACAGTACAATCTCTTTGTTTTTTGGCTTCATAATCCACTTAACGGTCCCTATTCCAAAAGCTCTCTCAAAACCTAGTTCATCTGGAACTCACTTCAGGACACATCAGAGCCATATGTTTCAACCAGAACAGAAATTCCTGAAGGAGGGAGGGGCTAACAAAATATACCATGATTAGCACAGCAGAGGAAAATGGTATTTTAGATAAAGATCATTTTCTTTACTGTAAATACAGGCTTTGTGCTACCTCTAGCTAGCTGGGTCTCTAACCCAAAGCTCTTACCAAAAATCCCTGGAAGCTTGTTTGGATGCGGTAAGTCGTTCGTTTTCTTGGGCTGCCTCTTCTTCAGCTGCTTGACGGCTCGAGTGACTCGGACCGGATTTTGGCTTGCCCGGAAAAAAGTGACCATGAAAGGTTGCTTGGAGCGTGGCCCGCGCCGACCCAGCAGTCCTGCTAAGCCCGGATCGATGCTCTGCCCTACGATGGGCCGAAAACACAAGTTTGTTTCACCGCATATGCAAGTTAGGCTGTAAAACTAAGCTCTTTAGTCAAAGGGGGAGAAAAAACAAATCAGATGTACATTAAAAAAAAAAAACAATAAAAACAAACCCCAATAAAGTCCAAGGATTTTTCTAGTGTAACATCTCCTTGCACCTTCACCAGTTGCTGCATTCTATTATTTCTACTCAGCCAGCACCTTCCCTCCCTCCCCCTCTGTGTTGTTCATAATCCACATTTCGGCATCAAGAGACAAGAGCACCCAGGGCTGCCAGGTGCTCCTTTGGTAGAGCCAGAGCAAATGAATGGGCCTCTTCATGCCTGGACTGGAAGTGCGACCTGCCTCCACACAACACATTAAAGAGACACTTCCGGTCATTGTCCAATCAGAGGACACGCTTTGTGAGCTAAATCGTTCTGCTCGGAAGACCAGACAAACGAGAGTAATCATTCTAATCCAGGATTGAAAGAGAGAAGCGATAATTGTGGGGAGGGTGAAACGGGGTAGAAAAGACAAGGAAATGAGAGATCCAAAGGAAATCCAAACAGCTGCGAGTTCCTCGAATTATTTCGAGTTTTTCAGTCTTTTCTAAGGAAGAGAACACTCTCCTCCGATCTCAAAGTTTCCCTGGTCCAGAATGTCACCATTACAGTCTTGGATTTTCTCCATAGAGCAAGTGAGGCGAAATGGCAGTGCTCCATTCAGTCCTAGGACTCCCTCCCACTTTGCATTCATAGAGCCTGGCTTCCAAACACGAACATCAGGTCAGAGGCGAAGTCTCATGCGCTCCTAAGTCACTTTTGAAAATGGGAATTAGGCTCCTAACTCACTCAGGCACTTCTGGAAAAAATCTCCCCCCAGGACATGAGACCCTCTGTAAAGGAGGACAGTCTCACATGTAGGGATCCAGCTTTGGACAAGAGGGCACAAGAGAGGTTTCATTTGCAACAGGACTTCATTGCAACAGGATAGAATTTGCAAAAAGAAAAGGAGGACTTGTGGCACCTTAGAGACTAACCAATTTATTTGAGCATAAGCTTTCGTGAGCTACAGCTCACTTCATCGAATGCATACTGTGGAAAGTGTAGATGATCTTTTTGTACACACAAAGCATGAAAAAATACCTCCCCCCACCCCACTCTCCTGCTGGTAATAGCTTATCTAAAGAGGACCACTCTCCTCTCCTTCTGCCCCTCCACCCTCACGAACATGATACAGTTCTGTGGTGACCTAGAATCCTATTTTCAATGTCTCCGACTCAAGGAATATTTCCAACATACCTCTGAACAACATACTAATCCACAGAGATCTCCCTACCAACACTACAAAAAGAAGGATTCTAGGTGGACTCCTCCTGAAGGTCAAAACAGCAGACTGGAGTTCTACATGGAGTGCTTCCGCCGATGTGCACGGGCTGAAATTGTGGAAAAGCAGCATCACTTGCCCCATAACCTCAGCCGTGCGGAACACAATGCCATCCACAGCCTCAGAAACAACTCTGACATCATAATCAAAAAGGCTGACAAAGGAGGTGCTGTTGTCATCATAAATAGGTCGGAATATGAACAAGAGGCTGCTCGGCAGCTCTCCAACACCACTTTCTACAAGCCATTACCCTCTGATCCCACTGAGAGTTACCAAAAGAAACTACAGCATTTGCTCAAGAAACTCCCTGAAAAAGCACAAGATCAAATCTGCACAGACACACCCCTGGAGCCCCAACCTGGGATATTCTATCTACTACCCAAGATCCATAAACCTGGAAATCCTGGGCGCCCCATCATCTCAGGCATTGGCACCCTGACAGCAGGATTGTCTGGCTATGTAGACTCCCTCCTCAGGCCCTACGCTACCAGCACTCCCAGCTACCTTCGAGACACCACTGACTTCCTGAGGAAACTACAATCCATCGGTGATCTTCCTGATAACACCATCTTGGCCACTATGGATGTAGAAGCCCTCTACACCAACATTCCACACAAAGATGGCCTACAAGCTGTCAAGAACACTATCCCCGATAATGTCACGGCTAACCTGGGGTGGCTGAATTTTGTGACTTTGTCCTTACCCATAACTATTTTACATTTGGGGACAATGTATACCTTCAAATCAGCAGCACTGCTATGGGTATCCACATGGCCCCACAGTATGCCAACATTTTTATGGCTGACTTAGAACAACGCTTTCTCAGCTCTCGTCCCCTAACGCCCCTACTCTACTTGCGCTATATTGATGACATCTTCATCATTTGGACCCATGGAAAAGAAGGCCTTGAGGAATTCCACCATGATTTCAACAATTTCCATCCCACCATCAACCTCAGCCTGGTCCAGTCCACACAAGAGATCCACTTTCTGGACACTACAGTGCTAATAAACGATGGTCACATAAACACCACCCTCTACCGGAAACCTACTGACCTCTATTCCTACCTACATGCCTCCAGCTTTCACCCTGACCACACCACACGATCCATCGTCTACAGCCAAGCTCTGCGATACAACCGCATTTGCTCCAACCCCTCAGACAGAGACAAACACCTACAAGATCTCTATCAAGCATTCTTACAACTACAATACCCACCTGCGGAAGTGAAGAAACAGATTGATAGAGCCAGAAGAGTTCCCAGAAGTCACCTACTACAGGACAGGCCCAACAGAGAAAATAACAGAACGCCACTAGCCGTCACCTTCAGCCCCCAACTAAAACCCCTCCAGTGCATTATTAAGGATCTACAACCTATCCTGAAGGATGACCCAACACTCTCACAAATCTTGGGAGACAGGCCAGTCCTTGCCTACAGACAGCCCCCCAACCTGAAGCAAATACTCACCAGCAACCACATACCACACAACAGAACCACTAACCCAGGAACCTATCCTTGCAACAAAGCCCATTGCCAAATGTGCCCACATATCTATTCAGGGGACACCATCACAGGGCCTAATCACATCAGCCACACTATCAGAGGCTCGTTCACCTGCACATCCACCAATGTGATCTATGCCATCATGTGCCAGCAATGCCCCTCTGCCATGTACATTGGTCAAACTGGACAATCTCTACGTAAAAGAATAAATGGACACAAATCAGATGTCAAGAATTATAACATTCATAAATCAGTCGGAGAACACTTCAATCTCTCTGGTCACGCGATTGCAGACATGAAAGTTGCGATATTACAACAAAAAAACTTCAAATTCAGACTCCAGCGAGAGACTATTGAATTGGAATTCATTTGCAAATTGGATACAATCAACTTAGGCTTGAATAGGGACTCGGAGTGCCTAAGTCATTATGCAAAGTAACCTATTTCCCCTTGTTTTTTCCTACCCTGCCCCCTTCAGACGTTCTTGTTAAACCCTGGATTTGTGCTGGAAATGGCCCACCTTGATTATCATACACATTGTAAGGAGAGGTTTCAGAGTAACAGCCTTGTTAGTCTGTATTCGCAAAAAGAAAAGGAGTACTTGTGGCACCTTAGAGACTAACCAATTTATTTGAGCATGAGCTTTCGTGAGCTACAGCTCACTTCATCGGATGCATACCGTGGAAACTGCAGCAGACTTTATATATACACAGAGAATATGAAACAATACCTCCTCCCACCCCACTGTCCTGCTGGTAATAGCTTATCCAGCAGGACAGTGGGGTGGGAGGAGGTATTGTTTCATATTCTCTGTGTATATATAAAGTCTGCTGCAGTTTCCACGGTATGCATCCGATGAAGTGAGCTGTAGCTCACGAAAGCTCATGCTCAAATAAATTGGTTAGTCTCTAAGGTGCCACAAGTATTCCTTTTCTTTTTGCGAATAGAGACTAACACAGCTGTTACTCTGAAACCAGGATAGAATTTAAGCACATGCTTACGTGCTTTGTTGAACGAGACTAACAGCCAAAGCATCAGTCGTCTGAGGAAGACCTGAGGGGAAGCATTTTCCCCCCTAAACTCCTGATCAGTTGGAAGGAGGATTTTTGAGGGATTTCCATTGCACATTAAATCCAAATTGGCTCAATCATTGGTCACCAACCTCAAAGGACAGGGAGCCCATCTGAGTCCTCATTCAGGAGAGCTCACTGGGGCTTCTGTCAATGCAGCGAAAATAAAATCAGGTATTGAGAGCAATTCAGCTAGCACCATTACCTCAATAACCAAGCGTAACGGACCAGCTCATGAGTGACTGGCAAGGTGATCACAGTCTCAGATGGCAACTGGCGGCTCAAAGGGAGTCCTCTGTGTTTTAAGAGTTCATGTTCTTGGTTAGCTGGCAGAGACTATCCTTAAACTAAGAGCTATGCATATAAAATAACCCAGGAACATACGGACTGAGCAGAAGGGCCATCTGCAAAGGGGAAAGGTAATTTACACAGCTCAGTATTGCGGTGATCAATCTTTACTGTCAGGCCATCCTCGGAACAGCACAGCTCAAAACCAACTCATCGCAGGAAAAGGACCACACGGTACGAGCAGTCGCTGCAGTGTCTCGGCTGTCCCTAGACCAGATCCTCAAAGGCACCTAGCTCCTATTGATTTGAATGGGAATTAGATGCTGAATACCTCTGAGGATCTGGGCCTGATATCGGAGATCTGTTCTGCTGCTAGCGTGGGTAGTTAGAAGAGAGAGAAAGCCTGTGATGCAGATTGTTTCAGGCTGACTGAAAAACAACAACAGGGGCCAGATCCTCAGCTAGCATAAGATGGCATAGTTCCACTGAAGTCCCCAATTTACACCAGCTGTGGTTCTGGCCCTTGCTGTTTAGAGCTAGTGTTGATCTATCCACCCACCCCGGGCAGTTTCCAGACAGAGGACCCATTTACTCAAGGTTTTGTGCACCACCTCAAACCAAAATAGCCTAACCTTAGCAGCATGCTTATTGAAAGGGAAATATTGCGGAGAGAGGGGACCAACAAGTGCAATTATATTCCCCGAGCCTCAAGGACGATCTCTGAAGTACACCTTTCGAGGTAGCACTTGGAATGGATTTTATCCATGGGTGAAATTAGGAAAGGTTAATCCAGCGAAATACAGGTGAGAATCCCTTCAGGCAAGGATTACTTTAAACCTATCTTATTAGTATAGCCTTGTCAAGGTTCCCTCCCCACTCTGAACTCTGGGGTACAGATGTGGGGACCCACATGAAAGACCCCCTAAGCTTATTCCCACCAGTTTAGGTTAAAAACTTCCCCAAGGCACAAATCCTTTCCTTGTCCTTGGACAGTATTGCTGCCACCACCAAGTGATTTAGACAAAGACTCAGGAAAAGGACCACTTGGAGTTCCTGTTTCCCCAAAATATCCCCCCAAGCCCCTTCACCCCCTTTCCTGGGGAGGCTTGAGAATAATCTACCAACCAATAGGTTAACAAAGTGAGCACAGACCAGACCCTTGGGTTTTTAGGACACTAAAAACTAATCAGGTTCTTAAAAGAAGAACTTTATTATAAAGAAAAAAGTAAAAGCAGCACCTCAGTAAAATCAGGATGGAAGGTTAATTTTACAGGGTAATAAAAGATTTAAAACACAGAGGATTCCCCCTCTGGGCTCAACTTCAAAATTACAAAAACAGGAATAAACCTCTCTCTTAGCATAGGGAAAATTCACAAGCTAAAACAAAAGATAATCTAATGCATTTCCTTGCTTTACTTACAATTTTTGTAATCTTAGTTGCTTATTTCAGGTAGGGTTTTAGGAGAGGTTTTTTCCCTGCCTGGTCCCTCTCTCTGTCCCGAGAGAGCACAACAAAGAGAGCCCAAACAAACCCAACCCCCTCCCCAGATTTGAAAGTATCTTCTTTTCTTATTGGTCCTTTTGGTCAGGTGCCAAACAGTTTATTTGAGCTTCTTAACCCCTTACAGGTAAAGGAGGGATTTTATGCTACCCTTAGCTGTATGTTTATGACAAGCCTACACTAGGAAGTGCATTAGCATCAATGCCTTTAAAAGGCCTAGAGGCGAACTTTATATTGGGATATTCTCCTTACACCCAGCTGCATCACACCAAGATCTAGCTAGATTTTTACAAGCAGCAGGAATTTTAAATCCTTCCAGTGCCTGAGTTAGTCTTACCGTCATCTGTCTCCACATAAAGTCTCAGGCCCAGGTTGTGTTTACGGTTTACTAACCAGTGATTACTGGCAGCTGTGACATCAAAAACCAACCAGCCTTCGGCCCCAGCCTGGAGCTCCTGAAGGTCTAACAGGAATAAGTCAGACTCCCTACAGAAACGGAAAAAATAGATAAGCAAAGTCAACTGAACGTAGATAATGCAAACTGCTTAGATTGTCTGCTCTCCGGGGCAGGGTTTGTCTTTTTGTTCTGTGTCTGCGTAGCACTGAGGACACGGGGGGTCTGATCGATGGGTAGGACTCCTAGCTGCTACTGCAGTATTAATCATTAATAATAATGGGTGGCATCATTTCTGACATTTGCTCTAAAAAGCATGCTCCCCACTATCGGAGAGTGAAAAAGCTTGACGGTGCCCTTGGTCCATATAGGACAGGTATACCCACTACCTATTAAATTACTATCACCTATTGAAATACATGGGAATGATTTTCCTACAGCTGAAAAAGTAGAATCAGAATTTCTCACGTCCAAGTTGGACACAGGCTTGCACATAAACTGAACGTCGTGAAGCGAAAAAGCAGCATTTCAATTTTGGCTCGTAAGAATCCAGATTTGTGTCTCGTTCTACAGAAGAAAAAAACATTTGTTTTGTTTCCAGCTCAAAGGCACTGGTTGGTTTCGCCGCACCTGTTGGAATACTCCTTCATGATCTCATAGATGCTGATGTGAAGAGTTTTGTTGACATCACGAGTGAAACTTCGCAGCTTATAAATTCGGAATTCGGCAGCCGTTACAGATTCTCCAGTTGGAATCTGGGTCAGGTCAAATCGAAATTCCTTCCAGTAAGGCTTCTGGTAGAAGATGTCTCTGTCATGCTCAACTGGAAAATAAAGGATTGGGAAAAATGATACAAATGATTCCCCGAACATTTATCAATCTTACCAGCAGACCATTGTTACACCCCAGTCTGATGAGAAACATGCCCCAAAGCTACTGGGTTTTAATAGGATCCTCTAGAATTAATCTACCTTGCATTCAGTGACAAAAATCTCCCTAATATCTTGCTTTTTTAGCATTCTGTGTGAAATTGCTCATGAAGTGTTCCTGTTCTTAACTTATTGTTCGGGCTCTGTGTCTGTCACAGAGGTCGCGGAAGTCATGGATGCCGTGACTTTCCACAAACCTCCATGACTTCTGCAGCGGCCCGAGCAGCGGTCCCTGGGGTGGCCAGAGCAGCCATTGCTCCAATGGCCCCAGGCAGCTGGAGCCACTGGCCCTGACCCCCCACCCCCAGCAACAGCCCCACAGGGCACACACACACACAGCAGTGGCCCCCCAGGGTGCACCCGCCCCCCGCCCACACACACACACCCCCCCCAGCAGTTCACAGAAAAGCTGGAGTAGCTGCTGCTCTGGGCAGCCCCCAGCAGCTGGTGGCCCTGGCCCTGGCCCCCTGGGGCTCCCCTCCCCCTTCAGTAGCAGCCACCCCAAGATTTAGTGACGGGTATTTTTAGAAAAAGTTATGGACAGTTCACGGGCCGTGATTTTTTGTTTATTGCCCGTGAACTGTCCATGGCTTTTACTAAAAATACCCGTGACGAAAGCTCATGCTCAAATAAATTGGTTAGTCTCTAAGGTGCCACAAGTCCTCCTTTTCTTTTCGTGACTAAATCGTAACCTTACTTATTGTCACAGGGATTGCCCATTGGGGCAGGGACCATCTTTTTGTTCCATGTCTGCACAGTGCCTGACACAGTGGGTCTTGGCCCGTGACCAGAACTCCGGGCGCTATGGTAATACAAATAGGAGATCATTAATCATAATAGATGACAGGGCTAGGTTCAGTGTTGCCAAATGTTTCTAGCCCTCATGCTTGCAGAGAAAAGCTTGAAAACATGACCCAAAGACTCAAGCAGAAGGCAATTGAGGAGAACCCACCGTTAAAAACAAAAACAAAACACCACCACCACTAATGATTTTGGGGGGGCTGGATTCTCAATTTTTGAATGTTGTTGGGACTGTAAATTTAAAACCAGGATTAGCATTGGGAAGGCAGCGTGACCTCATGGCTAAAGCACTGGACTGAGACTTGGGAGACATGACTTCTATTCCCAGCTCTGCTGCTGGCTGTGTTTAGGCAAGTCACTTCATTTATCTCTGCCTTGGTTTCCCCATCTGTAAAATGGGGAGAATGATGCCGGCCTCTTTGGGAAAGTCCTTTGAGATCTACAGATGAAAAGCATGACAGAAGATCTAGGGGTAAAAGTTTTATTTTGGGATTTTAAATTTAGCTGGGAAGAGGCAGTGTCGTCGATGTGGATCTTCATGGGCTTCCCATCTCTAGACCTGACACTTCTCTCTCTCCCCTCCCCTTCTCCTTCCCCTATTTCTTATTCAAAAAGTGCCCCTGCCTGCCAGTATCGGCCTGGAATACAGCTGCACATCAAAGAGAGTCCTCAAATGATTTTGACTTTGCCTACATCATGCTGGGTGCCCCATCCAGGGAGGCCCCCGGCACAACAAGTATTCTCAGGGAGCTGTTTCCACCCCTTTCTTCAAGGTTCCTTTCTTCTTTGCAGGTAAGGTTCCCAGACCCCCTACAGTGGGTCTTCCCCTCTTTGCAGCCTGCTGGAGGCAGAACCAGACCCATCAGTCAAGGCAGGATGGGCAGGGCCACGTTCCTGAAGAATCTCCCAGTTTTTGTTCTACTTCCTTAGCTGTTGGCCAGCTTCCCCAGACTCTCCCTGCTACAGAGCAGCAGCTGAAAGCTAACAAACCCCAGAGCAGAGTGGGATGTTTGTTGCTTCTGATGTTCAGCTTCCTGGATCCTAAGATTTCACTGAGTTGTTGGTTAGACTCTGGGGATCTACAGACACCTTCCTAGAAACCCCCTCTGCCGATCCTGAATGCTAACTGGCTCCCAGCCCAAAGGCACAGAGAATCGGGCAGAAGACATACCGCTGGCAGTCAAGGGCACTAAAACATGGCCATTGTAATATCGGAGATAAGCAAGCACCCTCTCTCTACAGCTGATTTGCATGCTACAGTGCTGTTGGCTGCAACGAGTCAGATAGGGGAGTGAGGCTGGACTTGTGTCAAGAATTCTCATTGAGAGATGTCTTGGCCTAGCTCTCCTTGCTTCGTGGCCTCATGCTAGCTCAGGTAGCACTGCTTGCCTCCCCCATGGCACTGCTGCCTTGGAGGCACTGCCCACCTACGTGGCACCATCAGGGAAACTGAGGCAGGAGTGCCGGGGTAGCCCTTAAGGCATGGGAACCTTGGGACTGGGCTCCTTCCTCCCCACTCACTTCAAGTAGCACCAGTCTCCCTAACACAGCCCCCTTCCCCAAACACACCCTTTCCCCCCCACCCCAGGCCCATGAAAATTCTGTTTCCTCTTGCCCTCCCAAATCTCCACTTCTTCCCCCTCAGCTGTAATATTTCTACTTATCTGTTTGTCCTCTTCAAACACAACTCCCCTGCTCTTGACTGAGGCCATGAGCGAAAGATACACAATACATTTTTTTAAAAAAGTATCAATGTAATTTAATCCGGGACCACAAACTCAAAACACATTAGTCCTAATTGTCTGCTTATTGGGTGGCTTCACTATGGGGCAGAGTTAAGGTTGCTAGGGTACCTTAACATCCTCAGATTTCTGTTAATTTTAACCTGAACTCTGACTTTCTGGATTTGTAATGCCTGTTTGTGGAATAATTGCAACATCCCTGTAATGTTATTTACCTTCATGCTACTGATAGGTCTCCCAACCTTAACTCCATTTTAACATAGTATTTTGCCTGGTTACGTCTGAAAGACGTGCCTATTTAAAAAGGCCGTGCGTTCTCATGGCAGGAATTGTTTCCTAAAAATACTGGTATGCTTTTGAGAGTCTAAGCTGTATTTAAAAGGCCAAATATTGCAAAGGTGGAAACACACACACAATTGGTTTAAAAAATCTCTTCAGATTAAGAGATTATGTAAAAGAAATTCTTCTTAATTAAAAATTATTGGATTTGGGGACCATTAAAAAGGGAGTCTTAAAGCTCTTTCAGCCATTCTCCCTCCGACAGAATTTGAGTCTACGAACTATTTGCAATGCATCTGCACCATCTACTGGATACTACAGGAATGCAACTCCAAAATCCAGACGGAGGCTAGTACATGATCACCAGATGTATGGCTCGTAGCCAGTGAAATATGGATCGCCTAAACCCCTGGGATTTAGGCATAAAAGCCAAATGGCCACATGGTCTCTCTCTCTTTGATTTGTTCACTTTCCTGTATAAATAAAGCACCCTGGAAGAAAGAGGTTGAAGACACTAACTCTGGAACCTGCTGTATGCCCTGCTGCAAAACTAAAAACAACTGAATTTGTGCCCTCCTCCTCTCTGGACATCAAGCAGCAAAGTGCAGAGCAACCAATCCTGAACTTGCTCCAGCAAGTTACAAAGGCGCCAAAAGGACCCTAGTAAAACCACAGCAGATTATTCATGGATTAATGCATTCCACAGCCAGACAGGACCATTGTTTTTATTCATCCTGCTTTCCTGCATAACACAAGCCACAGAACTTCCCCCAGATAATTCCAGTTTGAACTAGAGTCTCCAATCTCAATTTCAAAATGGCCCGTGGTGGAGAATCCACCACGATCCTTGGTCAGTTGTTCCAATGGTTAATTACTCTCACAATTAAACATGTCCACCTTATTTCCGGTCTGAATGTGTCTAGCTCCAAAGTCCAGGCATTGGTTATTGTTATACCTTTTTCTGCTATATTGAAGAACCCCATCAAAATATTTGTTCCCCCTGTAGGTGCTTATAGACTGTTGTCAAGTCACCCATGAACCATCTCTTTGTGAAGCTAAATAGATTGAGCTCTTTATGTTGATCATTGTAAGGCAGATTTTCTAATCCTTGAATCATTCTCGTGGCTCTTCTTTGGACCCTCTCCAATTTATCAACATCCTTCTTGAACTGTGGACACCGGTAGAAATCCAGGAACCTCTAAAACAAGCAAGCAAGCAAGCAGTAACATCCCTTTAAACAAACAAGCAAACCTGCCACAGGACAACCTGCAATCAATGAGGTTATTGGTGAAAGTGTTAACTTTGTTAAATTGTGTTAAAATATACTTAAAGTTAATTAATTGGATCACTAAATTGTTAAATTAATAAGATTTGGGTCAGCCAGAGCCTGATCTCTGACTGAGGTGCTTCGTGTTACTGTAATAAAATAATAAGAATAATGATTAATCAAACATTGACCCATCTCCTCCTGTGAGCCCTGATAAACCTGGCAAAGAGCGGAAAGAAGAAATCCTGTTTAAACAAGTTATTTGGTTTGATTTTTCAATAGAAGGTCTTGCATAGGACTGAAAACAACAGTCTCTTCCTTCTATTTTATGAAACGTGTGTGGGAACGTCTGTGTGTTTTTGAACCCAAGTTCTTTTGGGAGCACATATGGGAAGCCACCTGGGAGTTGAAAGTGGCCTGTTTCCCAGCCAGTCAGCTGCACTTTCAGTTTAATATTCGTGAGAAATTCTATCAACGTTCAGCTGATTGATTAGTGAGACAGGGTGGGTGAGGAAATATCTTTTATTGGATCAACTTCTGTTCTACCGGTTACCTGCGGAAGAGCTCCGTACGACTCAAAAGCTCATCTCTCTCACCAACAGAAGCTGGTCCTATAAAAGATATTACCCCACCCATCTCTCGAACATCCTGGGACCAACACAGCTACACCACCACCGCATACAACGTCAAACTGATCTGTTCTCATTTGCTTTTATTATTGCCACACAACAATTTGGAAAAAATCAAAGAAAAACCTGATCTGTTCGTCCTTTTCTCCCCCAGCTGTATAACTTGTTTAGGACTG